CAGCAGCTGAAGTTTTACTTTAACTTTTAATCTAACAACTTGCTAATTACTTTTAATTGCTTTTTTAACAACTTGGTAACTAACTTTTAATTGTTTCAGTTTCAATAATGATTTACTTTGTCTTTGAGTTATTGCCAACATTCACCTTAGAAAACCACTTCTACTCTTTTGTAGTCAGCAAAACATCTTCAAATTACATGAGGTTGAACCATCATGTAATTTGAAAGGCCATTAGCCAAACATTCAGAAATATTTGAGAATGAGAAAATAACCTTTATTAACACTCACAAATTAATTTAAGATAGTAATCTATATTCTTTTGAATTATTTAAATAATTTAATGTAAATAGTTTCTTTGTTGCATTCACATATTCAGGATTTTTGCAGCCAGGTACAGAAAATGCTAAAAGAGATTAGGATGGTAAATATACTTGTTGAATATTTCGGTTATAAAATTAACATTTTAAATGTTTCTATCAGAAAAATTTTCAGACGAGCGTAAAATTTATAATTGGAAAAATACAAATCTAATTCTTTTACATTCTATAAATTGTTATCACAAATAAATTCTTTGAATTTAACACTGTTTAATTATTCTATTCAATTATTTAGCTTATGATGATAATAATGAACCTTGCGTATCTTCCCAAACATTTGCTTCATCAGATTATTTTGAAGAATCTTATATGTACCTTATATGAAAATTAACTGATTGTGTTGTTTGCAAGGATAAATATTTTTGTTGTGAGAGTGAATGTAGTTTATGATTTCTGTTTAAGATTTTTTCATTATTATCGAAAATAATTTAGAAACTGTGATGTTAAATTCGCCCCATTTTTTTTTTAGCTTTGATCTGTTATTTTTAGAACAGTTGTGGTTTGCACAAGTTTTATAAAATTTCCATTGCACAAAAATAAAATAGAGTAAAAAGTAAATTTTTTTAAAAATGTTTGATTCTTGTAGGTAAAGGTAATGATTATAGAGGAAATGTAGGAAAGATTTTTGTTAAGTGCTTGTATACACAAAGTTAAGGAGTGTTTAGAAAAAACATTTTGCATCAGACAATTTTCGATCAAGAATGAACTACCAACATTGTCTACCATATTAAAAATATACTCAAAATTTCAGACAAATCCAGAACTAGTAAGTTTTTCTATAAGTCATCCTTTTTATATTCTAAAACATTTAAGTTCTAAATTAAAAAAAAAAAACATTTAAATTTACAAAAAATAAGAATACATATTATTTAAAAAAACACATGTTTTTATATAATTTTTTCATTTCATGAAATTGACACATGTAAATAACATAATGTGCAATATATTTTTTATATTACAGTTAGATATTGAGATTCAAATGATGCTTTCTGGCTGTACTACAGCTACATTTTTTATCAGTATTTCGACAAGAAATTTTAGTCCCAGCATTCGAACTGATAGCAGCGGATACCAAAACAGGAGATAAAGATGTGTTTTCTTAAAATATATTTTTTTCTTTAGATATATTATTAAATTTTTTTTCCAGAAAGAATAAGAAGTAATAGATAGGGTCAGGGTAATTGTGCAAGTAAGGGTAGAAAAACCCTGTGGCTTGATTATATTGAGCATATTTGAATTGTTTTATGAATGGGTGGGATGTTAAAGTGGAAGAAAATATGGGGTAATAATATATGTAAAATAATAAAAAAATAAAATAATTAAGAAAATAATGGGGCAATAATGATATAATAAGAGAAATGAACAGCGAGAAAAATATAATAAGAGAAATGAACTGCAATAAAAGTATAAACCCTGTGTTCTTGCTATTTACATTACAACTTAATTTTATTTAATTTTAAAATCTAAACCAAAACATGACTGTTCCAAATATTCTATTTTAAAGGTTGGCGTGCATATCATGTTTGCAAAATTATTTTAATGCTACAGAGAACAACTGTGAAACAGAAAAAGATTTCAGGACTGGAGTCTTTTGACCATTAAAGAGGATTGTTGAGGTTATATTTTATAATTTTTCTAATTCAAAAGGAATTTGAATTCCAATTTTTAATTTAGATAAGAAAAGGTTTACCATATTTTTTACAATATTTACTTTAAATCAAATTAGTATATTTATAATTTAATTTAAATAAAAAAATTTACTTTAAGCAAATAATATTTATTTAATCTGAATAATATTTAATTAATTTAATATTTATTTTCTGTTTCTATGACCCGTTAGGCAGTTATCACATTTTTTAGTTAATATCACCATGCTAAAAACTACATTTGATCACGTTACTGAGGCTAAGAAAAAATAGACTTTAAAATAAATACTTTGGCAGTCGTTTTTCTGACAATGTTTCATTTGTGAAATTCTAACAAATATTTTTAATTTTTAGAGCTTTTAAATTGATGATAACATTTCACTTACAATCATTTTACTGTATGTTGTCTAGGACTGAAAGGGTTACATTCTCCCTGCATTCATTTGCAGTTCCATGACAGAAGCTGCAGAAAACTGTTGGAAACCATACCTATTGCTCCTCATTTAAGGTAACATCAGTGACAAAGTTCTATTAGTAAAAATAGTTGCTGAGAAATCCCTAATTACAGCTGGGCCATCAATTGAAGAGGGTATTGAACGATTGTTTAAACTTTTTTGGTTTTAAACTTGGAGTATACAGAAGAATAAGCAACTTTTTTTTAAATTTTGCAATTAGTTTACAATATTGGAGAAAAGCAGTCATTTCCAGCAGCTCGGTGCTATGTTGAAGATAGTTAAGAAATAGATACTTAATATTCTTTATGTTGAACTAAACTTGAGTTATTTTGTTAGCAAGTTAAATTGAAACCTGAGAAAACGGAACCTTACTATTTTTAAAGGACTTGTCAGTAAACTTTGTGCAATGTTCCATAAAAATAATTTAAAGAATTGACTCTGTTATATTTTTACTCTGTAAATTTAACCGACAACTAACTCAATGTAAAAAAACAAGATACTAGTTTGTTGAATATTCCGGTAACTTGAACGGACTCTATTATAGAGTGTGTATATATATATATATATATATATATATATATATATATATATATATATATATATATATATATATATATATATATATATATATATATATATATATATATATATATATCAAGACACTTGAAGTTATTCAAAAGTATATCTTCTTGGGTTTCAAATGAAGCAAAATGATATAAAAAGACTAATCATTTTATAAAAATTTTATTCAAAAAAAAATTAAATCCAGTGTTATTTTATTATATAGAACACATCAAGGTGCATGCTGAGGATAATTTTCAAAAATGTTGTTTTTTGACCCAGCCTAATATATATATATATATATATATATATATATATATATATATATATATATATATATATATATATATATATATATATATATATATATATATATATATATATATATATATATATATATATATATATATATATATATATATATATATATATATATATATATATATATATATATATATATATATATATATATATAATGGGATAATCTAAACAAAATGATGTCCAACAAATGCAACTAACCAATCAGGGACAACTCTCAACAATACTTGAAACTGTGTTGGAATAAAGCCTTACCACTCGCATTAAAGAAATCGGTGAAAAGAACGCTGAAATTTTGTGCAGCAGTTTTAAAGCCTAAAAGTTACTTAGAAAAATTCAGAATTCTGAAAAAAATAATTAGACAAATGTTTAACTTTTATCGAATATATTTTTTTTATTTTGTTTGCAAACTTCTTTTATACTAAAGTATTAAAAAGTTAAAGTATTGTTAGTTTTACTTAAAATTAAACTTGAAGGTGATCGTAAACTTTTTACTGGTAGTGTGTGTGTATATATATACATATATATATATATATATATATATATATATATATATATATATATATATATATATATATATATATATATATATATATATATATATATATATATATATATATATATATATATATATATATATATATAATATTCCATAAAATAAAAAACAAACACACAACATTAAAAAATTACAAAATACCATTGAGAGAGTGCTTCTCTTTGTAGGAATGTTAGTAAAATTTTCAACTAGATCAGGATATTGCTGAAAAATTTCATTTGCTAATTCATCTGGATAATCAAACTCACGAACAACACGAAGTTGTATTTCTGCAATAATTTCAACATTATCTATAGAAAAAATTAATAGCTTCAGTAAATATGTAAGTATTTTAAAAATTTGTTAAATTATAATTTCTCAAAACCTATTCTCAGTTTAAATTTTTTCAAACTTTTGTTGTTGTTGTAGTTTATGCAAACAAGTTGAAGCGTTGAGACAACAATAATAAATGATTTATTGACTATTTCTAAATATTTTTATGGTGTCATTTCATCTAATATATTTTTAAAATAACATTAACAAATCTTTTCCTTTTATTAAATAATACTGAATTCATCTCTCAAAAAATATTTATGTTTATAGCAGTAGAATAAAAAACTTTTTTGTTTTAAATAAATGTTTATAAACTGATATAGATTAATGATTATAAAAAATAATATAAAATATATTGTATATGATATTAACAACGACAATAAAGAAGTAACAATATTAATAATAATATTATTACTTCCTCATAACTTGTCATAAATCATGTAAGTATGAAGTATCTTTGGCATTTTTAAAAAAACACAAAACTTATTTAAAATTTGTATTGATAATTTTAACTACTCAGAATATGGGTGAAACAGATTTTACACAATATTTTTAAATAAAGCAACTCCCTAAGAGAGTGATCCGTCAATTGAGCAACTCCCCAAAACACAGGCCAAGCCTAACCTGTATGCAAAAAAAAACTAAAGCAAGATTAGTTTTTTCCTTATAAAATTATAAGGGATATATGGTGGCAGGCAATAGATAGCTGACAATAGTAATAATAACAATGTGTTTGTAAAAAAGAAGTTTAATTTCTAAGTATAAGTTTTAAAATTAAATTTCACTTTTTTCAAATAAAAAGGAGTCATTTTTGAAAACAGTTTTCAAAAATATGCTTAATAAAAGAATGTGGTATTTTGTTATGACAGAGAATGTAAAAATAATTTAAAACATTCTGAAAAATGTTTAAATTCTATAAAATGTTTTTGTTTAGGCAATAACTTTTTTTCTCTTAAATTCTGATATGGCAATCCTGATTATTTTAATAACTCTAATCATTTTGAAATAAAACTTTTAAAGCAGAACATTGCATACTTATACAAAATAGCAAAAAACTTATATAAAAATAAAAAAATTTTTTGCAGCAAAAAATTGTAGAGAAAAATTTAAGTAATAAAAAGTGAACTATTTGAAAATTTAAAATGACGTTCAGTTTGACACCATTAGTGTAATATAGGATGAATTTTAAAAACAATATTTGATAGCTTCTTAAAAAAATTATCACAATAAATTCCGATAATTAATATATAACATAAAAACAACATTAAAATATATAAAATAGAAAATAAGAAACCTCATTGAATGTGGGGAGGTGAATACAGGGTTCCCAGCCAACATTTTAAAAATCTGCATGCCTTCACATACCACTTTTTGATAAAACTACATGCTTTTATACAAAAAAAAACTTTTGTAAGAAAGCGAAAAATTCTTACACAACTACAACTTTTTCTCCTTTTCACATGCTTTTGAGGGTTGGGGAAGATTAGTGACAGTTAAGAAGAATAAAAAGTTTTATAAAAAAATTAGTTACTGCAGATAATAAATAACATAAATCAAGGAGATTTTTTAAACAAAATAAAGACCTCCCTTCTAAAATTTTTAAAAGTAAGCAGTCTGAACTTAGAAACCTATTTTATATTTATGTTTATTTTTATAAAACCATTTTTATATTTTAGCTAATTTTAAAACTTATAAAATAAGTAAAAGAATGTTAAAAACTAAAATTAATAATTAAAAGTAGATATTAAATGCCATTAAATTAATTAAACATAACATAACTAACGTGTAAAACTAGACAACACAATTTTGTGTTATGTTGTGTACATGAATATATGTAAAGATATACAAATATAAAACATGTGGACAGAAGTTATTGTAAAATGTAAACATTAAATATAGTCAATATTATTATTTATTAAAAATAAGTCCAGTAAATAACAATAAAGATTATTTTAAAAAAATTTTTTTTATTTAAAAAAACATCAAGATGATAAGAATGATCAACTCAAAAATTACCTGGTGCTAAAGTTAAATATTTCAAAACTTGTTCACTTGACATCAATTCTTTTTGACGTGTCACCATATTTTTAATAACATCCTCAGATAATTTAAATATATCCACTAAAGGCATTGATTGTCGTTCATCTGATGTTACACAAGTTGTTATTGATAATGGGATTTCAACCAATGTGCTTGGTAAATTATTAACATCACAGGTATTTTTATTTTCAGTCAAACGCTCTTGATAAATAAGCTAAAAGAGAAACAAAAAATACTAACTTTATATGATTATTTTTAAATTTTTCATGTAATTTTGTTTCCAATTTGAATTACATAACTTAAATAATTTTTTTTTGATAATATTAAAAATCTGTCAATTATTCAGTGGTATTGAGCAACCTCTGACAATAACTTGAACATGCTAACTTTTAAAATTCAGTTTTATTTTATTATACAGAACATATTAAGGAGGTTGATGCAGCATTTTTTTAAATAATTGTTCACAAGTTAAATATACAGTCCTTTTAAAAAAAATAGGTGGATATGATTTTGTTACTTAAAGCTAGCTGAAGGTTTTTGAAACAAAATTTCCATTTAACCAGGAAGTTCACGCCTCCTTCCATACCAATAATACATATATGGCCAAAGCCAGCTTTGAACCACATACCTCTAGTTCTAAACTTTAACCACTACACCATTGCTCCACAATTAATAAATAAGATCAGAAAATTTGCGGATTTAAAAATTTTTTAAGGCATCAGTTATGAAAATGTAGGTGGTGTCTGGGTATAACGTGTCATTAGTATATGAAAATGTAGGTTGTGTCTGGATATTATAAGACCTACACCAGATCCGTTTGGTTAACAGGTTTTATAGATCTGGGAGGTTTTAGGTCCATATTAACGAGACCCAGACCTGGTTTAAATGCGTTAAGTCAATTTGAGTCAAGGTCTAGACCCAACCTATTACAGCCCTAATTGGAACTGTACATTGTCATGAGTATAGATGTAATCAATCAGAATATATATAGAGTGTTTTGAGTGTGAAAATACATAGAGTGAATATATGAGTGTTTCATTGTTTCATTCCAAAATATCATTCAAGTGCTAATTGTATATTTTGGCCAGATCTTTTAAGCTCACATTATGCAATATCCATTTTAGATTACATGATTAAAAGTCCCATTTCATCTGAAAATACAAAAATGTTTCTCTGAACACGATAAAGCAACAACACAGAGCTTAATCAAAAACATTAGAAAAAAAATTGTTTTTATAAAATTTTTCTCAGAATTTAGTATATTTTTTAAAACTCTTTACTGAATTAAATTTTCTTGAAAAAAAATCACTTATTTAATGTTAGTGCAAAAACTTAGTGAACACCTGTTATATTTGATTATCAATTTTTACAACATTTACAAGTTCAATTTTATAAATTTTCTCACTTTGTTTTTATTTTTTTAACTAAAAAATTAATTTCTTCTTCAATTCAAGCTATTTTAATCTTGTTAGAAAAAAATAATCCATTATAGTTTTTATATTACATAAAACACTGCATCATAAAACTGCTACATAAAACGACGTAATTGAAACATTTAATTACCTTGATTTAATTAAAACATTTAACTACCTTGACTTGATATACTAAAAATATATACTAAATTACTTTGATCTTTTTAAGTCATTAAACTAGCTGGACTTCAATAAAACATTAATTTACCTTGATTTCATTAAAATAAGGAATAAAAAATCTTGGTTTGACATAATCTGAATGATGCATTTCTTCAATCCAATAAACTGTAGAAGATAATTTCTTTTCGGAAGATACAATGTCACATGCTGTAAATGGCATTTGTAATAAACCTTGTTGACAGGCATTTGATAAAATAACAGAATTTTGCGTAAGGATATGGGATAACCTTACGCATCCCACTAAACTTGAAACCATTTCACGTAATGCGTCATTTGTAATATTGTATCGCTTTGGACATGGGTGTCTTGGTAGTGATTTGGTTAAAATGATGGCTAAGTTTATAATAAGCATTATAATACACAGTAATAATATATGATGACACATATAATAACAATATTTATTATAACAAATATTTTATTACTACAATTATTTTTAAAAATAATTATATTAATATAATTACTTTTCAAAACTACTTTTAACAACAACAACAAAACTTTTACTTGGATTTCCTGATTTTGCTATTTCCCATTCACACCATGTGATTATTGAATCTAAAATAGTTTCTTCGTCTGCCTATTTTAAAACATATACTTCTAATAAATTTTTCTTTACAAGTTTTCATTGCAAAACTTTAACAAATATTATACACACACACATATAATATATAATATATATATATATATATATATATATATATATATATATATATATATATATATATATATATATATATATATATATATATATATATATATATATATATATTAGTGTTGAAATTTATTATTTTTGAAATTTTTTATATTTATTAGGAGATGAGTTTGTTTAGATTATGAAATTTTTTTAATTAAGTTGAGAGAAAAAGAATTGTTTTGAAATGTTTGTTCAGTTTTTTACATTATCTAAAGGAAAGTTCATCGAATTGCTGTTAATTTTGAAAAAGTAATTTAAAATGTCCTAATTTATAATTAATACTGTTGAAGCTATAAAAATTAGCTAGACTAGTGTGAGTTTTTCATAAAAGGTCGATGCACTAAATTTTTGGTTTTGGAAACTAATCAAAGCATCAAGGAAATGTAAATTTGTAATTTATTTCTTCAGTGAACTTAAGGTTGGGATGTTGATTGTTAATTAAGGAAGTTTTGTGCGTCTTTATTATTCTTAAAGGTGCAAAAGATATTGGTTATATACCTTTCATATAAAACAACTTTTTGCAATAATCATTTTGTAGCCGTATGTTTTCATGATGACTTAAAAATAAGTTTACTAAAGTAGGAGCTAGAAGAGACCCCATTGCCATCCCATCAATTTGATGAAAAATAATAAATGAAAAGTGTGTTTGTTTAGTAGAGAATTTAAGTTATGTGCAAAAGATATTACAAAACCCAGGCTAAGCAAAAGACACATGCAAAAAAAACAAGGCAAGATATAGCTTCCATATTAAGTTAATGAAGATATCATATGATGCCAGGCAATCAATGACCAACATTTTTACACAACATTTCTGATAGAGGTTTTCGGAGTGTCCCACATAAAATTATTTAATAATGTCAAGTAGTTGGTTTCTAACTTACTACTAGCAACAATTATTGTCAAACTCTTGTAATGGAGAAACCAATTGAATTTTTGCTTTGTTAACATGCATTTTTGCACTTAATGACCAGCTTAACAAATTGATTCCTTTATCCTGCAAGTTCCTGATGTAATAGCGCAGCTTCAAATTTAACCATACAAGTTTAAGAGACTTGTAGATTAGTCAAGGACAAACATTCTATTGACTACCATGGGCAGAAATATATGACCTAGCACCAACCCCTGTTAAACTCCACTATTATATTGGTCTGAGAGACAGGGTCCTGAGACCATAAACTTTTTGAGTACAGTGACAAAAATATAACTTAATTCAAGTTGTAACTGTGTCAAGCAAGTTAAATTCATTTTTTGATACAAAAAAGACAACTAAATCAGAGATTTTATTAAATGCTTTTTAAAAATTAAAACAATAACAATGAATTTAACCACCCAAGGATTTAAATTCCAAATGACCATCATTGTCAAAGTGTTAGCAGTGCTGTTATAAGGACCAGACATGAAAGAAATTGGAAAGGATTAAATCATTTCCAAAGGTTTTAACCACTGGTTGAGTCCAATCTTTTCTAATACCTTAGCTGCAAAGCAGTGAGGTAGAGCAATAATCCCCATTTGTTGTCAAAATGACACAAAACATTTTCGGTGCAAATGGAAGCTTAAGGTGAGCAAAGTTATGATTGTAATTAGCAATATGGGAGCAGCTAAATTAGTGGCATAATCACTTATAATAGTTACTGAGATACCATCCAGTCCACTAGCTAATGATTTCATTTTTTTAATTCTTGGTAGACAAAATATTTAATAGGAGCATCGAAAATAGCAGGATCGTAATTGTTTTTAGTAATAATGAGTTTATCTACATCCTTTGTCTCACCTTTATAAAGGTACTATTTATATCAATGGCTTCTCATAGAGTGAAAGTTTTAGTTTGTTGAAATGACCTAACAATATTGTCAATAACATTTCGTTTTTTCTTGATACCATTTACTTTAGGTTTTTATGACCAAACATCTGCTTAGAGGTTACTATTGCAGTATCTAGTTTATATTTTCAGAGCAATCTATGTGTTGATGTTTTTTTGGTAAGCATCTTTTTCCCTCATTAAGATTTTAATTCAAAAAATTATTCATAAAAGATGTTGATTCTCATTTTAGTGAAATACAGAGAAAAACACTTTTCAGTCACATCATAAAAACATTTGCTAAAATAAGAAATCATGTTGTAAGAAATCATGTTGTAAAAAATCATGTAGTAATCATGCATTAATCACTACTTTGAAACAATGTTGACCAGTTTAATCTTGTTAGGTATTACAAAAAATAGCATTTTACACAGTATTAACACTGAATTTGCTTATAAAACTTTCCATAATTTAGGTGGCAATGCCTTAGTAGACTCCAGAGTGATTGTACAGTAATCAAAGCAGCCCAGTGGGCTGAGCTTTTTTCTTATGCTTTTTTTTATACTTTTATTGTTTAGAGTTCTGGAACATTAGTGGGAATAATAATGACTGTTTAACATCCACGTGTGGAGAATATTACGAGTAGACTGAGCGAATTAGTAATAGGAAAATCATAGTAATACCGAGATCATTTATAGCACCACATACTACATAACATCATGCTTAAAGTTGTTTAAATTTTTCAGATGTATAGAGTTATTGCCTCAATACGGAAGACAAATGGCAATGATAAACACAATTAATGTTGGAAATCTGCAAAAACATCTGTTTTTAGTATATTAGAAACTCTTACTTCCAATTGACAAAATTCAAAGACAGAACAGAAATAGAAAACAATTCATTAATTAACCCACTCAACAAAACAATACAACCATTAATGGCATTAAACTGCTAATAGCAACAACAAAATAATAACAAAAAGCAAATTAGTGAAGCTTTTAAAAATGTGCCTTCAGGTTTGAAAAATTTTCTACATGATTTTAATATTTAGTTTAAAAAATTTATATATTGAAAAAAAAATTGAAGAACTTCCAGGTTTAATTATTACTTCTGAAACAACTTGAACACTAATACTTACGTAAAAAATAATATAACAATATATTTTTTTATTTTATAATTTTCTAGTAACTTCAAAGCACTCACTGTAAACATTTGAACCAATAACAACTAATGTGGAGAGATAGTGAATTTAGTTACAGCTTGCAGAAAAAATAAATTTAACTTCTTTATGTAAAACTTTAATTTTTTTTTTATCGAAATTTAACAATAACCATTGCCTTCATTCTATCAATGAACATTGAACATTGAAGTATAACAAGTTGTAAATTTAACAATAATAGAATAATTCAAATAATTATTTCCACACCAACCAACTCTGATCAATGTTGTTTGTGTATCAAATGTTTTGTGTGCCTCCAATTAAAACTAAACAATATATCTTTAGTAGTTTTAATACCTATTATACCTCTAGCCCCCTTGAGGTTATACAAAAAAAAAGAACGTCCATCAAAAAAAAGTCCATCTTTATCTGGAGTCATCTTTTATTCTTTGTTTTTAAATATATGTTATGTAAAGCTTTTGTACTAAAAATATTACCTGAAAACAAGCCTATTTACGGTAGCCAAAAATTAGTAAATACAATTTTAATTAACACTAAAGCCTGTAAATTAAAACCAACCTAAAAATGATTTTTAGCAGATTTATACATCTTATTGCATTTTTTTATCTCAAAAACAAAGATAATGTCTATTAATTAATTGTTCATTAGACCCATAATCTAATTCTTTATTCTTCAGGTCTGTGTTCAGAAATGACTATAGAGCCCGCTATTGTAGACACTCATCTTTTTTTACATTTTCAACAAATACTCATTTTTTCTAAAACCTTTAATAGATACTTATCTTTTTAATATCATCAGCAGATGCTCATCTTTCTAACATCTTTAACAGAAGCTCATCTCTTTAACATCATCCGCAAATACAAACCTTTCTAACATTATTAACAGACACTCATTTTTCTAACATCTTTAACAGACACTCATCTTTCTAACATTATCGGGAGATACTTATCTTTCTATCATCATCAACAGACACTTATCTTTCTAATATCTTCAACAAATACTCATTTTTCTAACCTCATCAGCAGATACTTATCTTTTTAACATCAACTGCAGCTATTTATCTTTTTAACACATTGTAGCTTATATTCATGTTTTGGCTAAGAAATTCTTGTATATTTTTATTATCATTAGGTCAAAAAAAAGTATATATATAAACAAGAAAGAAAATAATATATAAATAAGGTTAGATAATAAAGTAACTAAACAGTAGAGCTCACAAAACACTGAATCCAACCCGTGGATAATCCACTGATGCTAAAGATATAAATAAAAATTAGCGATTAACGAAAAAAAGTTACGTTTACTATTTTATACATTTTACTTGCAATTTACTAAAATATTAAAAAGATTATTAAAATATTAAAAAGTAAATATTGAGTCAACTTATCATTATGTTAAACATTAAGCTATAATTATATTTAACAATCTTTATAATTATTTACTATAAGTCCATTCTTAATATTTACATTAGAACTCTAATTATGAAACAAAAAATTATAGCTGTTAACAATAATCTTTTGATTAAACTGCTCAAAAAATGTGTATTAATAAATTTTAAACACATTGTATATGTATTTATTAATTATTAATTTGTTAATATGAAAACAAAGTGAATTGAAATACTGATGCAAACTTATAAATTTAAAAGTAATTTTTGTACAAAATATATTATTCATGATTATTAAAATTAAAAACTTTATTTTTTATTTATGTTATTGAAATAACTTTACAGTTTATACAACAAAGTACTTTATTTCTAAAACTGAAATAAAAAATACTAAACTAAAATATAACAAGAAAAAATTAAAAAATAGAATAGAAAAAAGTTAAAAAAACTACACTACAAAAGCAATACTAATTTTTCTTGGCTCTTGGTTGAATAAAGGCTAGAGATGGTACCTCGATAAAAATACTCATCTTGGGCAGATGTTACCTTGATTTCTGCTTGTGCCTCCTTTATAGTAAACACGCAACTCATCCTGTTATCTTCTAATGAGAGTACAGCTCTAAAAACTCAGTTTAATGGTCCTGAGGCCACCTGGTAATAAAGTTTCCAAATTCTGTGGTAACTCCGTAGATGATCCAGGTCATATTTTAAAAATCCGGAAAATTGTTTGGGTAAAATATCCAGAATATATTTTCCTCTTAAATTTGCTTTTAGCTGAGTTGTTTCAAATATTTTATCCAAACCTATCTTAAATTTTCTATAAATGATGAGTGAAAAAGATTAAAAAACAATGCATGGTTTCCAAGCATAAGATTAAAATACAAAAATATATACCTAAAGTTGTATGCATGGAAAATGTTTTGTAAAAACTTTTAGTTTTTACAGATATTCAAAATATTAAAAGTGCCATGTTGCGCATGGATAATGTTCCTGTTAATGCTTTTGGTGAGCATTGTCGAGGCCACATAAGAACCATAAGTTATAGGTTTGGGTTATATTTAACACGACTGAGACAACTGCATAGCAACCATTCCTCAGTTAAATCCTACCTCTTTCAAAATTCACCAGACTTGCTTGCTCTTAGTGAGACTAAGTTAAATTCTGCTCTTCCTTCTTTAGATTTCAGTGTTGTTAGTTACTTGATTCTCAAAATCCAATAGTTACAAGCTTTGCTTGGAAGTATACAAAAATATTAATTCATTTTTTTGTCATGAAATCAGGTTTGAATCCTTTGATCATTCTTTTATGTGATTCCATTTAGCACCTTCACTCTATCACTTTTCTCTTTGTTCTTTATTGTTCTCCTTCTTTCCAAGACTGCACTCTTTTAGATGTAAAATCTTATTAAATTGATGATGTCATTTATCCCTCTGCCAATATTGTTGTATTTGGTGACTTTAATGTTCATCACACTGAATGGCTTGGCTGTAACGCCACTGATCCTGCTGGCACAAAAGCCTATAACTTCTGCATTCTCAATCTCTTACTCAGATAGTTAACTTTATGACAACCTAAACTATTTAACAGGTACTTGACTAAGTTTTGTTTTCCTGCATGCTGGAAAATGGCACCTGTTGTTTCTATTTTTAAAAACTTCAGAGAAAATTCTGATCCCCTAATTATCATCTAATCAGTCTTCTTTCTGTTATTATTTGGTCTTTGATCAACAAATTTCTCATATCCCATTTTGAGTCAAATCATTTATTGTCAAACAATCATTATAGTTTTAAACCCTCTTGCTCTCAGACCAATTTGCTGACTGCTGTATTTATTTGCGGATGCGAATAATTTATAAGTATTTTATTTAGTTTTTTTTTTTTTTTCAGCAACGATACTTAGTGCAAGCCAAGGAACGAAACAGATGTGTCTGAAATTTTAAAAAATCTATTTGTAAAATATATTTATGTATTTGTAATGTAACAAATTGAAATTATATTTCCACGATAAAACCGTTTGCAATGATTTTTTTATAGCTTATGTACTCATTTCTTATCTTGCGCCTTAAACTCTAACCTAATTATTTTTTTCAATGCCTTTTCTTACATTGCAATAAAGTACTCAATAAATTTTGCAGCAGTTTAATTGTAAATATGAATCAATTAAATTAAAAATCACATTGTTTGATTTAAAAATGTATTGATACAATTGGAAGCTTGGTTGAAAATTTGTTTCTTTAAATTTGTCTAATTTTTATTGAATACAGAATATGATACAAAATGAAAAGTTGCTTAAAAATTTCATTAACACTAATGGCTTTTTATTACTTTAAAAATTTGTTACAAGTATATAAATAAATTTTAAAATATTTCAGACACATCTGTTTTGTTACTTGGCTTGCATCGAATATCGTTGCTGAAAAAAGCACCTTAAATATAAGGAAACAAAAAAATTACAATGGTTATGCAAAAAATTTTGAAATAATCGCATCTGCTAACCATTTTTAAACTATCTTTTTAACTTAACTTTTTTATAAAAAATTTAAAATTTACACCACAATGTTTTATTAAATTTCATGGCACTTTTAAACAGCCTAATTTACTTACATTTTTAAACATCATGCTGTGTTAAATATATATTGATTTTTAAAAGAATAAAGAACAAATGTGACAGGGAAGGGGCAGCCACCCTGATAGCCCTCACTCTCCCTATGGATCCGCCCTTGCATTAGCCTATTTATTTATGGGAGCTATGATAAGTATTGATGCTGTGATAAAAAAAAGAGCTGTGATAAAAAACTTTTGCTTACAATTAAGTTAACATTAAATGTTGTTATTTTTTTCTGATTTTCCACTTATTTTGCCATTCTTTAAGATTTTTACTTTTTTAGTTTAATTTTTGTATTATCATTTTTTAGATTTTTTAAGTTTGATTTTTTTTAGAACATATTTTTAACTAGCTAATTATCAAAACTTGCAAAGAGCTGTAGCCAAGTTATCAAAATAAAGTATTATAATGTATATCACGGCTTATATGTGTAATCATAGAAGCCGTGAGTCCACACGCCTCTTACGCAAAGGTCTGAAGTGTTTTTAATACTTTATTGAAAACCTCATGGTAAAAAAAGCTCATGAAAAAATTTTAAAAGGTGCATTGCCTGGGTGCATGGCCTGGGTGGTTTGTGCAGTATAAAAATCACCATTTTATTTTTAGAACAATAGCCATAGTTATAAGGAAATAATAATGAAACTCATAAAAAAATAAACCATATTAAACCTTTTAATCACAATTCATAAATTCTTACTAGTAGAAAATTCCTGAAAAATTTTTTATATTAAAACATAAAAAATATCAGATATGATTTATAAAGAAACTGTTAGAAAATGTAAAAGAAGAAAAAAAAAAAAAAAAAATAAATAAATTTACCTGCAGAAAATCACTTTCAAGAACCTTCAGTAAATGTATCTTGGATAGGTTAGCAAGAAAAAAACTAGATTTGCATAATGGAATAAACTCCTCTCGCAAAAAGTGAATTGCTTGTCGATATACATATTTGGAGTCAATGCTGCTCCATTCAAGGATTTTAATTAATGATGTAGCACTTAAATTACTTACGATGATGTCTTCACATCCTACATTTGAAAAAAATCAGGAAAAAAAATTTGTATTTCTATTTTAAATGTAATTTATAATAAAAATAAGTATTTTTTTTAATACCCTAAAATATTGGTTTATTTATAAAAACTTTTTGTATTTACCTTTCCTGTATTTCATTTTATAATTATAAAAAAAGTTAAAGAAGAAGGTAACCTGTTGATCAGGGCTTTGGAATGGAGGTCTAAAAATTGGCTCCAGCTCCATTAGATTTTTAGGAGCAGCTCTTGGAACAGCTGCACAAAAAACAAATCAAAAAAATTTTTTTTAATGTTTTATGACAGAACTTAAGTACTATTAATATTTCATTAATCAAAATCTTGATGCATCCTTAAAAATAAAATATTATCTAAAATATGAGATTTGAGTGAAGAACGCAGATTGCTCAAAAAAAATACAGAAATTAGTCTCTCTACACTTGTGACATAGGCATACAAGTGACTACTTTGCATACCTCTTGTATTCTTTTTGGGTATTCTACAATTCCCTCAAAAGCTGATTTCACTTTTAAATGTCACATTTCTTCCATTACCTTACAGTCATCCTTAAAGTTAATATTAAAAGTATTTTTATCATTAAAATTAACTTTTGTCATTCTTCTTTTTTTTTTTTTATCAAGCTCCTTTTCAAAGTCATCCTCCTCTAGGAATTAGATTCACTTAAAACTGAAAGAAGTGCTGTAGAAGGCTTACCAGTATTTCTTATTTCTTGAATTTTTATTGTGTTTTTAGCATCTCTTTTATAAATTTATTCTGCTACTGTTTTTAAGTCTTGTTTTGCTTGTATTATCTGGTTTTCTTCCAACAGTATTCTATACCTAGCATCAATACTGCAGCTAGAAATATATCATTATCAGAAGATTTTTCCTCTTGCTTCTGCATTTATTTTGAAATGTCTTCCACAACTAGTTCTTGATTCTTCTCTAGGTCAGATTTCAATTTCAATCATTTTTTCAGGAACTCTCCTGGGAGTGATGTCTATTCTTTGAGGTTTAACTGTCGCTTCATAAGGTTTTTTTAAAAGATCGCAAAGATGACTCAAGTTACTCCATATTTCAGGGCGTAGAAAGAACATCTGATCAACTGCAGCAAATTGATTACACAGTAGATGCAAAAGTAATGATCGTTAAACCATGGAGTGTAGAACTCCAACGTGTCTCATCCAAAATTGGAACAACCTTGTATTGCTTCCTTGCTTAACATATTGTATCTGAATTATTTATTTACTTTGCAACACAACAGATTTTTGCCAAAAGTTGGGAAATGTATGCTAATTTAAGCATCACAAATAGCTAGCTGCAAGGTATTAATAACACAGCGCATCAGATTAATGTTAGTAAACAATTGTTGACACCATTATGGGAGGAATAGATTTCCTTCCCAAGCTCCTGCACATTCTTCATCATTTGTATCCTGTTGTAAAAACTCCTCTGGTCCTTCATCCTGCAAAGCCTTATCTTGAAAATTTTCGTCGCCTGAATATTCGTTAAAAAGTGTGATTGCTCTAATCATTTTGGCTGCATTAAAAACACTAGCACATACTATTTGATTTTTGCTGATACCAAATCTATATAGAGTATCTTCCACCATTATTTTTTATAGTAACAGAGTTGTGCTGTCCTTGTTTATCTATCAGTGCCAAAGTTTTAACTTGATTTTTTCCAGCATAATAATATTGGATATTTATTCCCAAATAGTTCTTTTGGTGTCGAGTGGCTGCATTTCTTTTTACATAAATAAATGATTCTGTAACAATATTTCCTTTAATTCAGTTATCTTTTTTTCAATAAATTCATTAATCGAATTGTGTAGAAAATCATGTTCAGTACTGAATCCAAGAGTTTTATCTAATTGGCCTGTAAGCAACTGAAATCCTTTATCTGCAAATGTTTTCAATGAAACTTCGTTATTTACTACCATTTTAATAATTCCTATTCTAAAAGTTTTAGCATTAACTTGAGTTATTGTTCTACTACTAGTGATAGCAAAATAATCTAAAGTAGTCTGTTTAGTTTTTTAGTATTGAAATCTTGTGAATATAATAAAATGATTCTGAAATTTTTATTCAGCCATAAGGCTTATTTCAGATTTATCAATTTTATATTCTGATAGATATGATCTTTCCAAATGATGTTTCGTATTGTAAACTTTTGTTATTTTTATATTTGCATGCTGCATGAAATCACTTAATCTTTTCTGTAATCTTATATGTAGCCAGTTTTGTACTTTTATCATTTTAAAAATAGTTATCTAGAAACCTCTTAGGAATGTTTTAGTTTAAAGACATTTTTTTAAAAAACTATGGAAAATAAAAGTAAATGATAAATTTTAAAGATAAAAGAAATTATTAAAAAAAAAAAATAGTATAAACAAAAATAATATCAATAATCTCAAAAAAAAAATGGACATAATTGCAAATATGAATATTTAATTTTCTGTAAATGACAATAAATAATAAATATATTTATAAAACTAGACCTTTTTTATAGTAATAAAATATGTAATAATCAACTTCATCACTGAATTATTAACTATACATGTAAACTATAGTTGTACAGAATATGATAGTAAAAACCCAAAGTTACAAAACAATCAAGCTATATAAATCTGCATGGATTCATGAAGGGATAATTGTGTTATTTTAAACTCCTTATGCCTCATCAGTTTTTAAATTTTTGTTATTGTTCCACACTATTGTATACATATGCTCTTATTTAGGTGAAAATATATTGATTGATTAAAATATTTTTCTTAATTTTATTTGGAACTCAGGTGTTTAAATCTGTTTTAAATATGTTTCAACTTATTAAAAACATGAAAACAAACCATGTGACTTAACATATTAACAAAGTATTTTTTCATTAACCAATCATTGACAGTGTTTAGAAGTATTGTTTTGAAGTAACTTATGATACTCTACAATATGAACCACATGACATATTACAAGCAAAATAAAAAAACGCTTATGATTTTTTGAAAGTAAACAAAAACAATTTTATAATTTATAAGTATAAATTTAAAAAAATAAAAATTATATATGTGCCTCAAGTTGCACACATATTATTTAACAAGCATATATATATATATATATATATATATATATATATATATATATATATATATATATATATATATATATATACCAACCTCAAGCACTCTGAGGTCGGCAGTTAGGTAGACATTGCTGAATGCTGACCCTAATTCCGAGGGTTGTATATATATATATATATATATATACATATATATATATATATATATATATATATATATATATATACATATATATATACATATATATATATATATATATATATATATATATATATATATATATATATATATATATATATATATATATATATATATATATATATATATATATGTATATATATATATATATATATATATATATATATATATATATATATATACACATATATATATATATATATATATATATATATATATATATATATGTATATATATATATATATATATGTATATATATATATATATATATATATATATATATATATATATATATATATATATATATATATATATATATATATATATATATATATATATACAACCCTCGGAATTAGGAAATAAGAGGACCTCAAAGTGTTAGTTAGGTCAGCCGACCCTAATTCTGAGGGTTGATAATAATGTAATAATGAATTATAATGACAACGTATCTTAGCTTTATGAGTGCAAAATATCATGCTTGGCAACTTATTATAAGCATTGGTATATCTCTTACTTATGATAATATACATACATGTGATGACCATACATATATCTTTTACTAATACAATAAACAAAAAGCTATTAATGTAATGGTTAAAAGAATTTTTAACCCCTGTGTTTCTAATGCTCTTATTTTTAGTTTTGAACTTTTAATCTCCTGTATTCAAAAATTGACTCATATGAAATATTAAAACATAAAGTATACAATTAATCATATTTATTTATAAATATATGATCACTTTCTTACTATTTTATTGTTTTATATTTAAACCTAATATTACTTTAATGAGAATGCAAGTTGTTGTTTTGTTTTTTTTTAAAAAAAAAGGAAAAACATACCTCTCATCAAGGATGGTATTTCTAAAAATTGTCCAATCTCAAAAACCTTCATTGCAATTTCAACATAGACTAGATTATTGTTGTTACAAGACTCATGAAATTTTTCATTAAAGATTGAGTTAAAACTAACTTGATCAAAATAAATACACTCCATTACAACATGGAGAAAAGGTTGAGGGACTATGTGATCATTAATTTCTAATAACAATGGTATTGTGAGTTCAGTTTGATTACAATACTTTGTTTCGAATAATCTCTTTAAAAAAGGCGAACGAGAACATACAATAGAAAGATGACAATCAACTTTAAGTGTTGGATCAAATGGTTTTAATACTTCAGAATATTCACAGAACATGTTTTTCTGACCATTTCTGTAGCTTATGACTAAATCAGTTCTTTCCTTTGAATTGAAAAGCTTTTGCATATCATTCTCTAAAGTGTTGAGTAAACCAAATTTTTCTTCGAGCACACTGATAGTTTTAAGTATTTCATTGTTATTTGTATAACCACAATATATATAAGAGATTAAATCTATAAAATCAGAAATATTTACATCTAAAACGTCACAATCAATTTTAACATGACTATGGTTTATATCTATAAGAATACTTCGAAAGTACTGACACCTTGATATAAGAACTATTTTATGAACATGAAATAATGTGTCTTTGTACTCAATTATTGTGTCTGCTTGGTGCTTGCTATAAAAAAGTTGACAAAAATCATTTTGAAGGCTTCCGTTTATGCTACGAGCTGAATCTGACAAAAACTTTAGTTCTCTAACAGCTTCTAGTGTCTCGTATTTTTTTAACAATAATTGGATTTCAGTAATTGACCAAGATTGTACTAAATCTCGAATTTGTTTGCTATAGAGAGAACTTTTTATTGGTCTCAATGTTCTAGAAAGTTTTTTCCTTATTGACCCCTGCTTTAACAATTTTTTGCTTTGTTTTTTCTTTTCTTTCTCAACCAATTTGCTTGAATCATCATGCGGTAAAATTAAATCTGAAGATTTTGACTGATTTTTATCATTAAAAGCAGCTGATTGAGCATGGCCCATATTTCTAAAACCATCCAATCATTCGATAATTTTTACCCATTCTAGAGGGCAGAAACAGATTAATCACAACTTATGTATTTATTTTTAAAATAGAGACAAATCCTTAAAACTTCATTGAACTGCAAAGCTTGACTCAAAATCACTAAAAATCAACAACATTTAATTCATTTAATATGGTTTCTATAATTGTAAATACAAATGATTTGTATTTACAATTGTATATTCAGAATTTGAACAAAAAAAATGAATATAAAATGTGTAAACATCTTTGTAAATCAAAAACAAGCAAAAGAGAAAATTAAAATAACAACAGTAAAACATAATTGGTAATAAAAATGAGTTAACATAAAAAATATTAATAATAATAAATAAATAAAAATACATTAATCAACAATATGAGCTTAGAAACAACATATAATTTATTAATTGAGCTCAGATTTTTAACACCATTTGAGTGAAAATTTGTAAAATGCACTATAAATGATAGCTAATTCTAAGTATTTCTGAGTGCTACAGCATTCTATTTTGTTTTTACGACTCAAATTACTCTCAGGTGCCAAATAAACGGAGGGGGGGGGGGGATAAAAAGTTTTTGATAACATTTTTACATTTTACAAAACGCCTCTTCCCCCTGCGCGGGCGGGGGGAAGAAGAGTTTTGATAAAAAGGGGGAGGGAGATCTTTTAAAATTATAAATAAATGAGGAAGTTTTATTTATATTCTGAGTACCGCAAATCTGTTAAAATTGACATTTTATATTAGATTCATAAATTCTAATAACTTTTTTTAATGAAGATAATGAGCAATAGAGGTAGTTTGTATGATATATTTTTCCTTATTACTGATATAATGTATACAAAGTGTTTTGAAACACCATATTTATAAAACATCGCATTGATTTAAAATGTTAGAGTTTTGAAAAAAAAAAACGTAATATTTCTTCCCTTCTAAAATATAATATTTCCATTTAACTTTTTAAAAGTGTTTTTTGCCTTAAATTAGGTTAAATAGTTAATATATAAGATTTAAAAAATCTTTTCACGTTTGTAAATTTAAAATCATGTAAAATAGTAACTATTCAACGGTTATATTTTATACAACGAGGTTATATAAAATATAATATAACCTCAATTTTTTAAATATAGACGTGGTGAAACATATTTTGTTTAACTTTATAGTGAAGTTTAACTATTTATTATTGATTAGTCTGTTTTGATAATTATATTTAGCTTTGAATTTAAAAATGGAAAAGGTAAGGATAGAGACGATGATTAAAACAGACTTTGTTATATTACTTTTAAAATCCGATGAATTTCAAGCATGAACAGAATTTTAGTATAAAACACTGCAAGCAGCAACGTCAAAAATTTTACTGGCAATCACTGTAAGCAAGCAGGTCAGATTTAACAAGTACCCGGTGGGAAATCGGCTAGCGAATAGCTAGCTATAATCGTAACAATAAAGACAGCGATTTTGCCACAAGGATCGCTAGTTTTTTTAAGTTAGAGAAAAGCTATCAATATTTGTAAAGATAAAGACATTGATTAGGCATCCAAATTTAAATTTAACAAGCGATTACTGTGAGAAAAAAACAACAGATTTTGCAAGTAAACACTGTGAGCAAACAAAAACAGATTTAACTAATAAACACTAAAAGTAAGCAAAGACAGATTTAACAAGCAAACACTTGAACATAATCTTTTTCTTTTTGTATTTTGTAACATTGTTTGTTTTAAACAAATTCACTCACAACAAGGCTGCAAGTAAATACAATATAAATTAGTAGTTTCTAGCCAAAGTTAAAAACTTCGCTAAATAAAAGGGTGTTAAAAACTTTGTTGCTAAAGCAGTTCCAACTACATTTATAACTTTAAACATCTTTTCTAAAAGTTGAATAGCGTTATCAAAAGATTTACGATGATCTCTATGACAACATGTAATATATGACAACAGTATTCTGTGTTAAGATAAGTATAATATTTATAAAAGTAGAAAATAAAATCAGGAGTTAGAAAATGACAAAATCAGTAACGAAAGACAACCTAAGTAGATAATAATTTTGCAATTGATTGAAAAAATATTTTCACTAAAGATGTCTCGATAAGAGGTTGGAAATGAAAGATAGTCTGAAAAGGCGTAAAATAGAAGACACAGTTAGGGTATTAATATTCATCAATAAAGATATATCATCATTAATGATTAGCAGAAAAATAAAGAGTTTCGTTTAGGTTAAATTTTACCAGCCACTGTAAAGTCCGAGATGTAATATATAAACATTTAAAATTGACTTCTTAGTATAAGCACTCAAATAATTTAAATCTTTTATAAATCAGAAATCTATGCATCAACCATTTTGCCGTCCCAGTGCAAAATTTTTAGAGCCGCCGCATGACAATTTTATAACTTTGCTGGTTTATTACACAAAAAATTACAACAATTTAACTTAAAAGTACTAGATTGCAATGAAATGTTTAATTTACAAAAAAAAACTTTTAAACAGTTTCGTGATCATATCCTCCTATTTCTGACAATCCAATTATAGTCTCATGTATATCACTAACTTGATATTGAACAACTTAAACACAACTTAGTTCTGCTATTTATCACCAAAAAAAATTTAAACACAAAATTTTAGGCTGATTAATAAAGATTTTTCATAGATTCACTGAAACTGAGAGTGAACTATCTTTGAAGGTTACTAAACCATGTTTGGTATTTTCAAAAAAATTTACTGAAAACTGGGCTTAACTTACTTATTACCTAAATTAAATTATGACAATAAAATATATTAAATAATTAGTGTAAAGGATTGAAATTTTTTTTTACAAAAAAGAACTGGGGTTTAGCTGTGGGGTTGGGAGAGGATTAGGGTTAACTGAGACCAAGGGTTAACTGGGGGAGTATTAATCTTTACAACCAAACTTGATCCATTATCATATCCCTTACCTCTGCGGTTCAATCTCGCTAAAGAAAATTAATTAAAAGTCTAAAAAGTTAAAAACAACTTAAACCAGTAGAGTTAAAAACAAATATAACAAAAAACGGTTTTCAAGACTCGGTCTCCTTATCATCAACTTGTTTCAAGACTCGCTTTCATCATCAAGCTTTGAAACATTTAAACAATTAATTCGTTTCAAATTTTTTTTTTTTACAGTAATGATATAAAGCAATGATCACTGTAAAAACAAACAACTATATTAGTCCTAAAAATTTGCCGTCTGAAGATATTAACAGTTTATTTGAACTCCTTTTAAAAACCATATCGGGTTAAGACTAATCGAAAAAAAATATTCTGCCATCGCAGACTCCTTTTTTTCTATAGCCTCAGTCTTTTCATTATTTATAATTTTTCCAAATTTTATTTTTACAGTTTTCACTCGGAAACATTTCACGTGATAATTATAAAAACTATTTTTATAAGTTTGCAATGTTTAAGTTAAGTTAACAAATTTTAAAAAACAAATTTTGACTTAATACGGAGTTTTTAGAATCTGAATAAAACAGACAAAAGGTTTCTCTGTATGCAAACTTTAGCAAATGCTAGAAAAAATTGCTACACTTTTTTTTTTTTTTTTTTTGGTGTAATTTATTTCGCCGTTAAAGAATGTTTTCATTGCATATACATATATCAAAATTAATGGCAGGAGCAAGAAGAAGGCACAGTTTGCCTTATCGTCGAGCCCCACATATAAAAAAAAAACTCTACATGCAAAAATCTCTACATAACGGTAACATACAAATATATATAATATATATAAATAAAACAAATATATATAATATATATAAATATATAATACAAATATATAAAATAATGATCAGAATTAAAAAAAAAAAATAACTGAGAAAATTAAGAAATTCAAAATAGCAAATAATTAAGAATTGTTGAAATGCTAACAACCGCTAAAATATTTAAAAATCATTTAAGCAAAAAGTTTTAAATAAAAAAAAAAAAAAAAAAATCATAATTAACATTATCACAAGATGAATTTTTAACATCATAGCTTAAATTTCATTGATATAAATAAATTTGTTTTTATTTGATTAAACTTTAAAATAAACATTTGAAGTCAGATAAATTAAGATCCCTGAATAGTAATAATTGTTTTGATTCATTTTTAAATTGTTATAATGTAGTCTTGTTTTTGTTGACAATCTCTGGGAATTTTTTCCACAAATAAGGTCCGCAGTATTTAATTGAATAGGAGGTTAATTTTAAATTATACTTGAGAAGAACAAACTTATTGGAAATTTAAATAGAAATAACTTTAAGTTGGTTCTATTCAAATTATCAAAATAAAAGCGAATTCAAGAAGGTAGTCTGACTCACTGTCAAACTACCTTCTTGAATTTGAAGTTTTAAAATTCTCAAAGAGTATTTGAAAAATGCTCGAAGAAAATAAAACTAAGTGCAGACTGTTTTTAAATATTACTTAATAGGTTAAAAAACCATTTAGTAAATTATTAGTTAAAGGTACGCTGCCTTTGCGCGATGCACAACTTCGGTGCTGAATGTATGATATTATCAGTAGTTGAGTCACTTTAGAGGAAAGATTGTCACGAGGATCATTATTACAGGTGAAAAAAAATATAGTTTTATTGATGAAAACTTGTGGTACCGAGCTGGTAACCTTTCAGATTACAAAAGATTTGTCTTTGTAAACTGAAAATTAACCAGTTTGATTGTTCAAATAATCTAGATTTTATCTAGGTAATCTAAACATTTTGATACAAGAAACAGCAACGGTTCAAATACAACTAGCCTAGGTTTGCGCTTGCGATAATTGTTACAATAAAGACAACTATTCGAAATGATAAAGACAACAATTTGGTCACGAGGATCGCTAGCTATATAAGGTAACAATTAACTGGCAAAAATTCTTAATATATAGTACTTTTTATTTATTATCTATTCATATTTATGCAATATTTTATTCATCATTATTATTATTTTAATACGATAGTTGCAGACGGTTTTGTAAACCAAACTGACACAGTACGCGTTATTATTTAGTCGGTTTTATTATTTTTTATTTATCTTATTATTTTTATTATTTATTATTTTGCAAATTTCAAATTTTCAAAATGTAGCTATTAACATATCGTTTTAAAATGGCTACCGTAAACCGGGGTGACTTTAATAATGGAAGTGACTTTGATAATTTTGCCTGTTA